TGAAAGAATCTAACAAAATGATTCCTAGAAAATGTCTGAACCAAACCAGGAATAAGAATTATATACACTCTGGGGTGTGTGTGTGTGTGTGTGTGTGTGTGTGTGTGTGTGTGTGTGTAAGATTCTAAGCCTCCAATTTCTGTAGTCCAGGGTTTTACAGCTGAGGTACTGTTGACATTTTGGGCCAGATAATTTTTCGCTGGGGACGGAGGGCTGTCCTGTGCATTGTAGGGTGTTTAGCTGCATCCTGGCCTCTACTCACTAGATGCCAGTAGCACACCATCTTCTCACCCACATCATGACAATCAAAAGTGTTCCCCAACATTGTCAACTGCCCCTCAGAAGCAAAATTACCCTTGGCTGAGAATCACTGCATGTTTAAATTTTCTTAGATTTATCTAAAACCATAAACTGAATTCAGTCATTTTCTTTCAAATGACTAAAGGCAATGAAAGATGGTGCTGTAATTGCATTGTTCTGTATCATTTAAGTCAAATGGCATTGTTGGTTAAAGACTAATGCCAAAGAGTATAATTTTAAGAGTATAGACCCAATTCCTGGCTGTACCTATTAGTTCCATTTTTGTTCAGTCACAGACTTCCCCTTTCAATACCTATGTTGCAAAAAAATGTATTATTTTTCACAAGGAGACTAGGACAAAGTGAATAAATGCATCGGTACAAATCAGTCATTCATACAGATCAAAAACAGTGTATTTATTAAAGATGGTCATTTACTGCATCTTTCTGTTAATACAGTTCCTCATGTATCTTTTTACATTACACATGTTTACATTACATGTGTACTCTTTGAAATTCATTTGAAGAATGTAATAATTTATATTTGATATATATGTTTGATAATGTATAATTTGATAATAAGAATGCCTTCTATTTAATTTCTGTCAAAAGCAGATAACCCTTGAAATAGTTACATTTTCCTCCCCCTTCTTTCACAAGCAAAAACGAGGAAGAGGTAATTCGTATAATCATATGTCACAAATGTTCTCATACACCAAAGAAAGGAAATTATTTACTAGTTCAAAGTTGTTGAGATTAGTTGTCCTTGGACTAAAATAATATTTGTGTATGCTGTCTACCAAATACAGTTGCCTGTATGCTTCCACTTCAAAATCTTATAATTCTTATTAATGATTTGTTCTGCTAATCTTTAATGATGAACATCATTAGTCAGATGTTATCCCGAACTCATTTTGCATCTTGGATATTAATGTGTATGTATTTGTCTTTCATTACTTCTGTGGCAAAAGCATGTTTACCATACTATAAATCTTATCAGTCTTTGAACAAAAGTTACTTAAAACCCTGAAACTGTGTTATTTTGTGATTTTGAGTTGCCACTGTACCTGGGTAGTATCTGTTATTTATTTGCTTGTCTCCTGAGGGTACTGGTAATGCTTAATGATATACATCCCAGGGTTTCCTTAACCAAAACAATTTTGTAAGGAGACTAAAGGGTTTGTTTTTCAAATGAATGGTTATACTAACTAGAAATCATGGCTCTGCTTTACTGGGCTTAAAACAAAGTATCTCGCATCACTCTAACATCTGGATTTCATTTATTGCTAAGGCAGAATAAAATTGGTTTGAAAAGAGTGAAGTGAAATCAGTTTTAATGATAATGATCATTATCTGATTTTTTTTTTGACTGAAAATTTCCCTCCAAGTCAGGTTCTGTCATGTTTAACTTTGAGTGTGTACCTCATAGGAATAAAAGTTAGAGCAACCCAATCTATTCCTCTTCTACCTCTGACTTAAAAAACTACTTACCTAATGAAAAATGGAGTAAGAGACATAATCTTCCTTGATATTTTGGTGCAATGGCTCTGTTGGATTTCATATATATATATATATATATATATATATATATATACACACACACTTGTATACACATGGAATATGTATATACCCAAGTATATATATATATATAATGGCTTTAATTGCCTGCACTTGTTAAAACATTTTATTCCACCAAAAATATAATACACTTGGTCTAGATTTTATAGCTTTTCAAACTGATTATCTAAATTCGGGTGATTCTTTAATTTTTAAAATGCATTTACAAATGGGATACATCAGAAACAATGTGTCTGAAGTATCTCACGCGTGCATTATATTTTCCTGTAGTGACAACATAACATTACATTTTAAAATTGTCAACCTGTGCAAATCTTCATGCCTGTTTATGTATGCCTTTCAAAAAACTTTTCTTACATTTTGTTGAAATTCTATAGCTATCTGGCAGAACAGCTGTCTTGCTCAAACATTACTTCAATGTTTTGATTTTTAAAAAACCTACCTCTTTTTTTTTTTTTTTTTTTTTTTTTTTGCGGTATGCAGGCCTCTCACTGCTGTGGCCTCTCCCGTTGTGGAGCACAGTCTCCGGACGCGCAGGCTCAGCGGCCATGGCTCACTGGGCCCAGCCGCTCCGCGGCACGTGGGATCTTCCCGGACCGGGGCACAAACCCGTTTCCCCTGCGTCGGCAGGCGGACTCTCAACCACTGCGCCACCAGAGAAGCCCATAAAACCTACCTCTTAATTAAAGATGTAAAGAAAGATTTTTTTCAAAGACATTTAGAAGAACTGTTTCACATATGATAGCTCTATTCCCAATAATCCTAAACGTTACTACTATCAGCACTAAAAAGGAAGAAAAAGATAGTAATGGGAAGAATAGAAATATGAAAAGAGAACTGGAAGTTATACTTTAAATGATAGACAAACTTCTGCTGGCAGTTGAAGCTCTTGGAGGCTGGCATAATTACCCAAGTTGGAAAGATGGAAAGTGGAAGGAAATGCTACCCCTAGGGATACTTAAGGCCAGATTTGCCAAAGTGCTGGAAAACAAAATGCAGGAAAATCCCCTGAATATGTCGTCAGGGCAATGGCCTAAGTACCTCCAGATAACTTTCCCTGTTCACCATGGATGGGGTAAGAAGGCTCTGAGTCTGGTTTGCTCTCTCACTGATTCCAGTGTAACCTCAGGCAATTTGCTTCACCTGGCTGCCTCTTTCCCCTCTCCTCAGAGAATTTAGAAAATGACACTTGGTGGGACTTAATGTTTATAACCACTTCAAGATTTCAAAGAGAAAGTTATCAGAGATGGACAAAGTATAGTTCCTTGTCACTCTACATGATGGTAAATGAAAGTTGATATCTGGAAATAAAGTCCAAACCAGGTTTAATATGTTAGTTTAAGTTTGCATTTACTGTGTTTCCATTTAATTCAATTTGATTCTATGCAATTTCATTCCATGTGTATTTATTAAGGAGCGACGATTACCTTAGGAAAACTCAAAATCCAGGGCCTGCAGAAACTGGTTCACTGGCCATCTTGGAAGGCAAAGGGGTTCCTCTACTTGAAGGACAGAAAAAGAATCTCCCAAATCCCTATGTGGTTCAGCAATTCTATTATATCCAGAGGTGAAGCTCAGTGGGAAAACTGGGAGACAGTTCAGTCAACCCATCGGCAAATATTTTTGAGCTCCTAGTTGGTTGCAGAGGCTGTTCTAGATGCTGGGGAATTCAGACTAAAATTCAGTCCCTGGATGAAACTATGGAGGAAACCATGCTCTCTCAGGGCCTTATTTCACAGTTCTGGTAAAGGATATGATCCTATTTCTACTACTGTACTTCATGCTAAGAGAGTGAATGGGAAAGCATCCTGAGCCGAAAATGGATAGACCACTACTAATAACAATAACAACAAATATACAGCGAGAGCCTCCTGTGTTCCAGCACAGAGTTAAGCATCAATATACATCACAGTTCTTCAAAACAGCCTTTTCTTTTCCAAATACGAGGAACCTGAGGCTTAGAGAGCCATGGTAACCAGCTAGTGGGTGCGACACAAACCCAGGCCTGTCTTGATTCCAAAGAGTTATAAGGAGTAATGAAATCTGGTCAGCTGAACGTCTGCTCTCGTACTCAGTGGTGGCCCTTTTATTCTCTCTTTGCTCAGTTGTTGCTGCCTGTTCTGCAAATAATTAGCAATTTTGTATGAAATTCCTCACTTTTGTGGGAAGTCCATTGCACTGACCTACAATGAAAAGCTACTTCCTTCCAAAGACTCTGAGCTAAGGCATCTGCGTTGCCATCCAGAAAGGAACATCTTAGAGAGCAAAGGGAGGGGTTAAAGGAAAGATTTATTAAGCAGTTACTATGTGCCAGGCACTTGTTTAAAATTTGTTTGAAAAACAAGTGTTTAAAAACATTTCATTTTGGGACTTCCCTGGTGGTCCAGTGGTTAAGGCTCCATGCTTCCACTGCAGGGAGCATAAGTTCGATCCCTGGGAACTAAGGTCTTGCATGCCATGTGGCATGGCAAAAAAAAAAAAAACATCTCATTTATTTCTCAGAGAAACTTCAAAAGAGGAGAGTATCAAGGTTCAGAAAAGATAAACCATGCACCCAAGGCTGTGTAGAAAACAGTGGCAGAGCTGGGGTTTGAATTCACATTAAGCTCCTGCCTCTCCCCCGACCTGTGCTGCCTCTGAAAAAAGTATACTTACAGTATCTTGCTTGGTCAAATATTCTTATGATTTAAATAAATCAGTGAGGGACTTCCCTGGTGGCGCAGTGGTTAAGAATCCGCCTGCCAACGCAGGGGACACGTGTTCAAGCCCTGGTCCGGGAAGATCCCACATGCTGCGGAGCAACTAAGCCCGTGCACCACAACTACTGAAGCCCGCGCGCCTAGAGCCCATGCTCCACAACAGGAGAAGACACCTCAATGAGAAGCCCATGCACCGCAATGAAGAGTAGCCCCAACTAGAGAAAGCCCACGTGCAGCAACGAAGACCCAACACAGCCAAAATAAAAAAATAAATAAATAAACAAACAGTGAAAACCACCACTACTGCAACAGCACAGAATAGATCTCTGCTCAAATATCACCTCCTCAAGACAAAAAGCTTCCCCTGAAGTAGCCAACCTCCCTACCCTACCCCTACAGCTTTATTTTTCTTCGTTGCACTTACCACCTTCTGACGAAGCCCAGGGTTGTCTTTATTGTCTGTCCTTCTTACTGGAATATGAGTGTCTAGAGGGTATGCATCTCATCTGACTTGTTAATTTCCATATTCATCATGCCTAGAACAGTGCCATCATGCCTAGAAATAAATAATAAACATTTATTAAATAAATGCATGAAAGCAGGTTTTTAAAGGCAGGGTAGATAGCAAACCTGCAACAGGTTGAAAGCACAATGTGGTTTAGTCTCGAAAAGATCACCTTGGTGCAACAAATGCAGTGATTTGAATTAAATTTTTTTTTTCATAGGTTAAAAGTGATTCCCAACTTAAGAAATCACTACTCGTTATCTAAAATTTGGCTCAATATAAGGCTTCACTCAAGAACCCCATCAGCATTATTTATTTTATTAGGCATTTTTAATAGTACTTTATAGACATTTTGTCATTGTAAATGGAAATGTATTTACTTTAAATATTATTACCTTCCAGAAGCCTAAGGGCAAAGCAGACATTTTAATTTATCTTGCAAAGCTATGAAGTTAGAGAGAGGGTGGAAAGATTGATGAAAAATGAAAAGATCGGGCTTCCCTGGTGGCGCAGTTGTTGAGAGTCCGCCTGCGGATGCAGGGTACACGGGTTCATGCCCCAGTCTGGGAGGATCCCACATGCCGCGGAGCGGCTGGTCCCGTGAGCCATGGCCGCTGGGCCTACCTGTCCGGAGCCTGTGCTCCACAACGGGAGAGGCCACAGAAGTGAGGGGCCCACGTACCGCCAAAAAAGAAAAGATCAGAAGAGAGACAACTAAATTACAAAAATAAAAATGTGTTAGTTTTATCTGTGAACGCCCCCCCACAAATTACCTGATAACTACTACAGACATTTTAAAATTCAGATAAATAACAATATTTTTATTAACTGTTTGATACACCTGTTTTTCCCTACATTATTTAGTTGAGTTCTCTTTGATTTCCTCAAAGACAAAGTTATATGACAATAACTTTGTAATATTTTTTTCCATTAACCTCTAGCATAGTTAATTAATACTAGTTTTTATTATTGATAATTGGCTTGCATACCACATGGTTTATTATTGATAATTGACTTGCACTGTAACATGGTTGCAGGTTTGTGCCCAGAAACGTAGGAATTCTGATAAATTCTATTTTTCATGGTAGCCAAAAAAAGCATGGTGCATTTATAATTATATGCGCTGCATCATCTAGCATGTTCCTGAAAGGGGAAAGCTTCACATTTGACTAGGCATCAATAAGAAACTAATTCTTCACTGGCAATTTTTATATTTAGCTACTGAAAAAGTTTCCACAGACTAATTTGTGGTGCTGTAATGCCAACCTATGTTTCTCCTTTACTACCAAATACAGTGTCAGCACCCTAAAATGGGTTGGTGTTATGGTAAGACCTCTGACCCTGCCATTCAGTGTTTCCACACCAGGCATATCGGCACAACACATGGGGGGAGTGTGCCTGGGAGCTGTTCATTCCTATGCTGGCGCAGCTGGCAATAACTTGACATGAATGTGACTGAGAACCACATAAATATATTCCACCAAAACCAAGCTGAACCAATCCCCAACTCATCTTCCCTTGAGCTGGATTTCAATAATGCTCCACCACCACTTGGAGGGGAAGTCGGAGTGAAAAAAGACAACAATCTTAACCAAATTCAGTTCAAGTATTTTACTTTGGCAAATTTTACAAAGGCATGTGAACATGTGAACACATTGCTGGTGTTCCTTCCGGGGCCTTGGAAGGGAGGGTCCTGAGCTTCTGCTTCATTAACTTCATGACAGATTCTCCTGTAATGGGTTCACATGCACTACACTTGCTAACCTCCATCTCTTTCTTTGCACTGACAAGGCATAGTTTTGCTCTCCCTCCCACTCGTCCTGTCTTTCAAATAACTGTCTCCTTATCATTCGTGTCTCAGCTCAGAGAAGCTTTTTCTGATCTCCTGTGTGTATCATTCCCCTCACTCTGCCATGTTACCCTGTTCCTCTCTCTTTTTAGCTCTCATTTCTCTCTGAAGCTATTTTGTTTACTTATTTACTGTCTGGCTTCTCCAGTAAAATATGGGCTCCAAGAGAGCAGGAATTTTGCCTGGAATGCTTACAGCTACACCACCTGAACCTAGAATGAGCATCTGGCACTCATTCATTCAAATGACTTTTGAATGAATGAATGAACTATATGCTTAAAAGCGCATAAATTAGCTAAAGAATGTAATTTGCTCAAGAATATAATTTTACCATTTTAATCAAGTTACTCCAACTCTAGTCCCCCATTTCACTGTGCTGGCTGAAAGCCAATCTCAGGTATGGTTAGGGCTCCTTCCTCCCTGGGGTTTGCAAAGGTGTTAGAATTCAACAGAGGAGCAGGTCATCAGTCATTGCCCTCACTGGTCACTGAACTGTCCATGGTCTTGGCCAGCAGTCAGGTCCTAACTGCAGCTTCTGTGACATGCATGTGGCTGAGGAAGGTTGACAGGGATCGGGGGAGCCCTGCTTTTTGTGTTTGTCCTCCCTCTAAAGACCCTGCAGCCCTTTCCCCCGAGGCCTTGCCATTCTTTCCCTGACAGCAGCATGGTGGTCTACCGACCACTAGTCCCTCCTAGTCAGAACTAAGCCCTTCCCTTGCTTTGTTCAAAGGCATTGCTCTGGGACACCTTGCAAAATCATTTCATGGTGTTTAGACCTTATGAAACTGAGAATCATGGTTACCACCTTCTGTTTCTGCTCAGAAAAATCCTTGAGTTAAGGAAATTGTAAGGGTCTGACTACTTTCTTGGAATAGGAAGAAAGTGGGAAATCTGAAGAACAAACAAAATTATCAAAATCTCAAAAGTGATCTTGTCACCTCCATTTTATATATTCTTGTATATTGGAAAGGAAACTAACCGGCAGTTTGGCTGACTGTATGCTGTGGCTCTGTTATGGGCTAAATTTTATCCCCCCAAATTCATGCATTGGAGTCCTACACACCAGTACCTCAGAATGTGACTGTATTTGGAGATAGGGGCTTTACAGGTAATTCGGCCTAATGAGGTCATTGGGGTGGTCTTCATCCAATGCTTGGCATCCTTATAAGAAGGGGAGATTAAGATACAGACAGGTACAGAGAGAAGGCCATGTAAAGACACTTGGAGAAGACAGCCATCTACAAGTCAAGGGGACAGGCCTCAGAAGGCTCTGCTGACACCTTGATCTCAGACTTCTAGCCTCCAAAGTTGTGGGAAAATAAATTTCTGTTCTGAAGCCATCCAGTCTGTGGTACTTTGTAATGGAGGCCTAGCAAACTGATAGACTCCCTGATGCTGCAAGGTTGGGCAAGGCAGCCACTCTGGGGTCTGCGTAATAGTAGGAGTTGTTAGTGTGCATTCTTTAGCTCTGCAAGCCTCTGTGATGGAACTTTAAATCACCAGCAGTAGCAACAGTGCTGGTTTCTCCCCAAACCACATTCAGCCTCAAAGCAAGAGCGGGCACGTAGATGCGCAGGGAAAATGCTTTCAGCAGGGCCTGGGGGTGTCTTCTTTCACACGGCTCCTTATCGCCTTCACTGGAATGCCGCAGAGCCCAACACCACCTGCTCGCATGGCATTTCACTCATGTGCATTCCAGGAAACAACACAAATACTCGAGTGGCAGCAGGCCCTAGCGGGGTCAGCAGATGATGAATTAGTGGTTCTCCAATAGTCAGAGTTGCGTAACTGTTAAATATGAGTTCACAAATATTTATCCATTGTATCGATTATCTGTATATTTATTTTTTAACACGGAATGAAGTTCTGATATCTGTAACTAATTCCAACCAGCATGTTGCCTCTTGCTGTCTTTGTCTGGGATATTCATTTCTTCTCGTATACACAATCTTATGTCTAATTGTCGTCAGTCATTTTTTGCAGGGAGAAAAATAAGACAATAAAAAAAATGCATTGTTTCAAAGCTCCAAATTTTAACACTGATTTTGGAGGGTATAATTTAGTGATAGTTCCAAATTATGATTGTACCTATGGAAAAATGGTTTTGTTTGTTTAAAAATATAAAAGCTATCAGGAAAATCTCATCTTTGATAATTCATTGACATTACCTTATATTTTTCCTTAAATTATCTTTAGTTTATCTGATGTTTCAGATAATCCAGTACTATCTGAAATGCAAAAAAATGAAATATTTATTAGCAAAAACATAAAGTAGCAAAATGATATAGTCGGCAGACATCATGAGTCATAGCATTGTGTTTCATTCCTTGACATTAGAGACAAATGCCCTCCAGTGTTTTGGAAAAATCTAAAACTATTTTTTCTAATATGTTGATTTAACTCCCTCTTCATTGTCCTAAAGTACACACACACATGAACACACAGGCACATACATACATACACACCACTTTTATAAAGTATGCTTTTTGAAAATGAAACTTTTAATATGTATTTATCCTACAAGGACTTAAATCCATGTGGTTTCATTTGGTGATTCATTCAAATTTAACTCACATAAATATATTAGCTAATGTTGCAAGAGGCCTGCTACATTTTTTTAAAGTCCTTTTAATAAGCACCAAGTTTTGGTGTCCCAAAAGGAAAGAAAACTTAAGCTTGGTTTCAATACTGAAATCATGGTGCATTTTTTTCAGTTTTGGTCATTCTAAATTTCACATAATTTTACAATAATGTTGTGAGATAATAAAAAATATATATTAGTCTTTGCTTCCAGTTCCTGACACAGAGCTCCTAAAACGCTTGTAATTTCCTGGGTGATAGGAGTGCCTTTGTTCTAATGAGGTGACTCTGGGTGAGCTCCTGGATGGCTCCTGAGTGAGGGCTGGTCACCAGAAAGACCAAGCCATGATTGGAAGCTTGGAATTCTCAGCCACACCCCACATTCTCTTGAGAAGGGAGAAAAGCTGAAAATGGAGTTAATGATTGATCATGTCTATGTGATGAACCCTCCATAAAATTCCAAAAGGATGGGGCTCGGAGAGCTTCTGGGTTGGTGAACACATAGAGGTGCTGGGAGAGTGGTGCCCTTGGACAGGCCGTGAGAGCGTCATACCCCTTCCCACACACCTTCTCTTCCCTACCCATCTCTTCCCTCTGAATGTTCATCTGTATTCTTTATCATATCCTTTAATAAACTGGTAAATGTAAGTAAGCACTTCCCTGAGTTCTGTGAGCTGCTCTGGCAAATTAATCCACCCAAGGAGGGGAGTCTTTGGAACCTCTGATCTATAGTCAGTTGGTCAAAAGCACAAGTGATACCCTAGGATTGCAGCTGGTGTCTGCAGGGTGTGTGAGTGGGGGTGGGAGGCAGTCTTGTGGGACTGGGCCCTTATCTCCTGGTAGATAGTGTCAGGATTTAGTTGAATTCTTGGACACCCTGCTGGAATCCTGAGATTTGCTTGATCCCCCTCCCCACAGACCCACACTGGAATTGTGATCAGGAACCAAAAGAAATGTTTCTTCTTTTTGCTGTGATGCTTTATTTTTCTCCAAAATTTAATATATTACTATGTTATTCATACTGAAGAGGAACATCTAGGTTTTTTAATAATTAGAAAGAGCCCATAGACATTAGCTCAAAATGGAAAGTAATGATATTTTTGAGTGAAAAACTGAATTCGAAAAATAAAAAAGAGGCACGAGCTAGGCATGGGTGGCCAATGTGAAATTATTGCAGAATAAGTAATTCCTAATGGAATATTTTTGCTTCATAATATGCCTTGACAGTTCATGTTAGGCTCAGAAATCTTAATGTGGTGTCAAAATTGGGAAAGATAGTATAAATATTATTAGCTGAATGAAAAATGAAATGAATGAACGAATGAATGAATGGTAGTGTAAAACAGAGCATCTGATATAGTGTTAAATCATTTAAATGGCGCAGAAGTAGAGTTAGTCTAAGAAGATCATTTTCAAAACCACTTAAGTCACAGTTTTTTCCCTTAAGAAAATATTTATTTTTCTCTTGACGTGATTCTTAAATCCCAAATAAAATAAAGGGCAGGCTTATGTGCTTTTTGACCAGGGCTCTGGTTCCATTTCTCTACTAGTGTCTAAGTTTCACCCCACTGGGTCTGGGATTTAATTGCATCCTCTTTGCAAGCTACTAAGTTACCCTGTTACTGTTTCATGGATGCTGAAAGCAGATGTGAAACTCTTGGGTAGAGACAAAGAGCTTTATTACTCAGGGTGCAGCAAGCAGCATGAACATCAGCGTGTTTACACTGGTTACCCTTGCCTCAGACTCCACAGGGTTGACATGATATGACCCAGATGCATGCTACACACACAGTGGGTTTGCATAACAGCTAAGGAATGCTAGAGTTAATGAGTCCATTGCTTTTATTTTGTTTTTGGCTAACAATCAGCTAACAAACTTGCTCCTTGTCCCAGGTTGAGAAATTACCACATTTCTCAATATTGCTTGATGCAAACACAACCCTGAGAAATAGCTCAGGGAAAGAAGCATTAGGATCTTGAATTCTGACACCCCTAGAAAGACATATAGGAGCCTAGACACCCATGGAGGACTCTCCCACTACCACCTTGTGGCGGTTTCATCCTTACACTGGCTTCCCCCACTGCTATCAATATCCATGGGGGGAGGATATTGCCCCTGACAGCTACCTGGAAAAGTCTTGAGCTTCCCTGTGGCTGGACCTTATACAAATTAATCACTGGAACCAGAGGAATGTCCTTGACTTAGGCCTAGGTTTGTACCCATTCCTGAACTAATCTCTGTGTTAAGGAGGAAAAATTACTCTGATTACTTAGATCATCCATGCTGCTGGGGTGGGAAGATCAATTTTACCTACTTAATAGCTACCAATGGGGCTTCCCTGGTGGCACGGTGGTTAAGAATCCTCCTGCCAATGCAAGGGACACGGGTTCAAGCCCTGGTCCAGGAAGATCCCACATGCCGCGGAACAACTAAGCCCGTGCGCCACAACTACTGAGCCTGCGCTCTAGAGCCTGCAAGCCACAACTACTGAAGCCCGCGCGCCTAGAGCCCATGCTCCGCAACAAGAAAAGCCACCGCAATGAGAAGCCTGTGCACCACAATCAAGAGCAGCCCCCGCTCACCGCAACTAGAGAAAGCTGGCGCGTAGCAACAAAGACCCAACGCAGCCAAAAATTAAAAAAAAAAAAAAAAAAGCTACCAATGGGGAAGAGGCAAAATGTGAGGAGGCAACAATTACCTACCTCACATGTCTCGAAGTCGTATAATTCAAAACTTTTGCTCTATTTCAGGTTTTTCCAAGTCAAATGAAGTGGAGAGAAAGAAAACTCTTTGGCTCTCTTTTCTATGCTTTTACTCTGGGAAATCCTATCTATTTTTTCATTGTACCCATATTAATGGATCATCAGTTAAGGGCTGTATTAGGGGCTTCCCTGGTGGCGCAGTGGTTGAGAGTCTGCCTGCCAATGCAGGGGACACGGTTTCGAGCCCTGGCCTGGGAAGATCCCACATGCCGCGGAGCAATTAGGCCCATGAGCCACAACTACCGAGCCTGTGCATCTGGAGCCTGTGCTCCGCAACAAGAGAGGCCACGATAGTGAGAGGCCCGCGCACCACGATGAAGAGTGGCCCCCGCTTGCCGCAACTAGAGAAAGCCCTCGCACAGAAACGAGGACCCAACACAGCCAAAAAAATAAATTAATTAATTTTTTTAAAAAAAGAACTGTATTAGACTTGGGGATACAATTCTCAAAAAGTCAGAAATGACCCCTAAACTCACAGGCAAATAATCTAGTGAAGGATTCATTTTAAGAGACCATTAGGATGAGAGGGAAAAATACAGAGTGACGGTAGCACACAGAAGGAGCGCCTCACCTGGACATTGAGTGGGAAGGTTAGGAAAAGCTTCCTGGAGAATATGATAACTAAATCCGAAGCCAGAAGGATGAGCAGGAATTATCAGGTGAACTGTGTGTGGGCGAGGACTAGATAGCTTGGAAGAATGCCTTTGCAGATGGAAAAACAAAGCAAGTTAGAGAAACTAAATGTAGTTCTGTTTGTCTGAATCATAAAATTCAAGGTGAGAGATGAGGTGGGAGAAGTGAGGAGTGGGAGGGAGAAAATGTTATCTATGTAAAGGAGCTTTGACTTTTCTGAGAAACCTTGAAGCCTTTCAACAGAGAGAAAACAAGGTAGATACTGCATTTCAGGCATTTTACACTGGCTATTAGAGTGAAAAGTGAATTGAGGGTAGAAACGAGGCTGGGACAGAGAGATTAGTTAGGAGACTGTTGCAATCCAGCACAGAGATAGAAGTAATCATACCAGTGAAAATGGGATGAAGGGGCAAATTTGCCATCTATTTAGAAGTTGGATCCATAGGTCTTAATAAGTAATTGGAAGCATGAGATGAGCATAAGGAAAAACATAAGGCCTGGAGATAGGATAGCAATAAGAACAGATTTTTTTTTTTTTTTTTTTTTGGTTTAAAATGGCGCATTAACATTTCTGCCCCAAAGGGGGAGGCACTTTTCCTTTTTTTAAAAAATAAATTATTTTATTTTATTTTTGGCTGTGTTGGGTCTTTGTTGCTGGCACGGGCTTTCTCTAATTTCGGTGAGTGGGGGCTACTCTTCATTGCAGTGCTAGGGCTTCTCACTGCAGTGGCTTCTCTTGTTTTGGATCACGGGCTCCAGGCGTGCGGGCTCCAGTAGTTGTGGTGCACAGGCCCAGCTGTTCCGTGGCACGTGGGATCCCTCTGAACCAGAGTTCGAACCCATGTCCCATGCGTTGGCAGGTGGATTCCTAACCACTGCGCCACCAGGGAAGCCCTGAACAGATATTTTTAATTCAGACAGCAAAGGTTCAGATCCTGACTCTACACTTAGCATCCAAGCCTGAGTTAATTACCAGCAAAAGGGAGACACTGATAACTACCTAGCATGGCTGCTTTGAGGATAAATATACAAAGAAATATTATAAAATACTATATGGCAAGTTCCTAACAGAATAAATCTCTAATAAAGTATAGCAATATATCAGTTCCTGTTTCACTGTCTGAAAGAACTGGTTGGATGGAGAAGCTATTCATTGAGTGCAGCAGTCAGGAGCGTGCTGGCTGCAAGTAACAATAAACTAGACCTACAGCAGTTTAAAGAAGTATGGGTTATTTTTCTTGCACAATAAGAGAACTGGAGGTGGATAGCTATTGGCATTAATTCAGTCGGAAACTGGAGTCTTTGCTGTTATTCTTGGTTTTACCTCATGGTCACAATATGGCTGCCCCAGTTCTAGTCTCCAGTGTCACATTTACATTTAAGTCAGGGTTGAAGGGAACCATGCATAAGAGAAAGGTAATGGGTTAGTCCATTTTCCTGAGATGGGGAACATAGGAGGAGAAGACAGAAGTTTGGGAAGAAATAATGAACTTGATTTTGAATATATTGAGTTTTAGGTGTCTTGATATATTCACATAGAAAGAGGTATAATGGGCAGTTAGATATACTGGCCTGGAGTTAATGAAAGATGTCTGGGATTGAAGGGGGAAGTTAAATTCTGTGGGGTGAATGAGAGAACACGTAGAAAGGGTCTACAGTGAGAAAAGGTGAGGTCCAGGACACAGCCCTGGCACAGAACACCAACATTTAATGGATGAGTAGAGGCCAAGAACTGCCAAAGGCAAGAGTGGTTGGACAGGCAGGAGCAGAGCCAAGAGCATGCTGTGTCCTGGAAGCCTAAGAGAGAAAACAATTAAGGAGGACGTGGTCAATAATATTAAGGGCTACACAAAAGCAAGAAGGTCATAAGTGACCTTGCTGAGAGCTTTTTCTTTTGTGGGGACAGAAGCTAGACTGGAGTGGGTGAGAAGTGGAAGGGACAGGAGAAAGCAGAACGAACAAATGTAAAAAGTTCTTTTCTTTTTCTTTTGTTCTCAGAGTTCATATTTTAGGATGTCACTTGTAAAATTCTTTTTTTCAAAGAAAGATTTTTGGTAAAGTCAATTCACCTCTCTGAAGAGAAGAAAACTTGGGATGAGAATCTGGTCTTCATGACCTTCTAAAGGTCTCTTCTGGAGCCACCAGTCTCTGATTACATGGTCTTTCTTACTCCAGTGATGAGGCACAAATAAAATCAAGGACACATTTGGGTTCTGGGAGCAGGGCTTGTATGATGCTTCCTAGTACTGAAACAGGCAGAGTCTGGAAGTCACTGGTCTGGTGCCACATGTAACACAAACTAACTTTCCCAGGCTCTTCTTTATTTAGTGTGTTTTTATGTGGATGAATGTCATGGAAAATAAAAGTATTATGGGAAAATAAAAATGTTCCATTTGTGCAATTTTGGGTAGGTCATATTCAGATTTAAAACGTTAAACTATTTTGGGCCACATATAAAATCAACTTTTATATTGGACCACCCAGACTCAGAACACTAGATGAAAGACTAAAAAGAAGAAACTTGTTGGTGACATCGTATTCAGTTGGCTGACTATTCAGGTTTAAGAAGTTTCCTTCCTGTTGAAGAAGGAAGAAAATGAAACACTTATTTAAATTTAAAATACTCCAAACCAGGCAATAGATGTAGTTATAAGAATGTAGCTTCCAGGGGGAAATAGTCTCTCCCTCTCTCTTTCTATCTGTCTCTCTTCTCCTTCTTCTGAACTATATAAGCACCAGTTCAGAAAAGCACTTTTCAGAGTACAAGGTTTTTGTCTTTTAAAAATAAATGTTTCGCTTTCTTTTATTTCCTGCAGATTAGTTCTGCAGGCTACAGACAGCAAAAGCTAAGAAAAATAATAATTTAACCCACTTAAACTTCTTTTTGTCTGTTTCAATCATCAATGTGGTAATTCTCAAAACATTTATTTGAGAGAATCTAATCCTCTAGTAGTTCACTTCTCAGAGCTCATGTTTTAGGATGTCACTTGCGGCTTGGAGATTAAAACCTTCATCTGTCCTCTACTATTTATAGAATTATTCAATGAAAGTTTTCCTATTATCCTTTCTTTTAAGGGTTGGGTTCTCTCGTTAGAGCTAGAGAACTTTTGTTCCCCTCCCCGCCCCGCATCTTGCCCCAAATGGGGGACATTCTCCTCTGTGTGAGGCTCTTTCCGTTCCTGAAGGTGGGCTGAGCAAAGGAGCGTGACGCAAGAGTGGGCTGTGCGCTTGATGCCTCCAGCGCCTCTGCCGCCTTGTGAAGGATCCCATTAGCAGCGCAAATTCGAAGCGGCGGCCGGGGCAGCAGCGGCTGCTACGGCGGAGGCTCTGCGCGCCTCAGTCCTGCCTCCCTAGCGGGAGCCCGAAGCTCACGGCTTAGCCTCAACCGCACCCAGGCTTCGTCTGTCTTTTCAAGCTCTTCATGTTACCCAGCTAAAAGAAGAAAATGGGCACCGGGGATTTTATCTGCATTTCCATGACCGGAGGGGCGCCCTGGGGGTTCAGACTGCAAGGTGGCAAGGAGCAGCAGCAGCCCTTACAAGTTGCTAAGGTAGGACCATCGAGGATGGGTTATCACGGTTCTGGGCTGGGAAGGAAGGAATGAAAGCAACCTGTTGATGGTTTTTCAAGTTCTGATCCAGTAGTCTCTATATTAGTTTGATTTTGATGCTGACATTGAATCTTTCTAGGGTGTGGGTTTTTTTGTTTTGTTTTTACCAAAGAAACTTTGGAGAGTAACATATAGCACATATGTAATTAATCAGCCATTAATGGGGAAGAAAGCGTGCCATATTTTATTAGCTGAACAAAAGCCTACGTAATTAGCTTCTTCTCCGGCATCCAGCAAGACACTTGGGGACGTTTCTTCTAGGCAATATTAGAATCTGCAGTTGTTATTGTTTCATGTCACTTTCCTTGGCTCTGGCTGAGGAGAAGTGCTCAGCTCAGCATAACCAATTGGCTTGGCTTTTTTGGGGCCTCATAAAGTATTGGTAATGACATTTATTATACAGCATTTATGAGAAGCCCAATTTGGGGCAATAATTTTTAAAAAATATGATGAAGATGCCATAAAATCTATTTGAAAGAATACTCTTTTAAGGATTTGGCTAATAAATGCAAAAATCCAAGTACTTTGTTCTATCATGTGCATTCGTCTGGTTAGGTGCTCAAAATAAAATTCAAAGACACTGGAAATATATTTTAAGTACTTAGAGGTAACTTTGAAATGCATCTAATAATGATTTAAAATATTTTAGATGTTTGTGTTTCCATTAGATTGCTTTTTTTTCTTAGCTCAATATGCTTACCAGTTTGCTTGAGGGGATCTGACATTGTCTAATTGTGATTTAGCTAAAACAAATGTTTAAATACATGAAAATAAGCAGACTTTCACCTGATTGTAATACTAAATTGAAGTACTATAGGAAAGAACATGTTTGATTAATTTCCTGTTTTATACTTACATTAAAAATGTATCTAGATCCTTATGAAATATATGGACCACAGGCCTTTGTAGTTATTCTTCTTTCCCTTTGGCTTTTTTTTTTCCTTAATGTTCACTGTGAAAAAAGGAGTTTCTTTGAAATTTTCTGCACCCAGGCTTCCATAGGAAAATCCTTTCATAATGCGATGGTGGAATCCTGCCACCTAGTGAAAATTTCAAACATCAGGAATGAAGCATGAAACGGGAGAAAGCAGAAATTTTTAGAACTGAAAAGTTCCTCAGAGATTCCCACTTCAACCCGCTAATTTGAGATGAGGAAAGAACCCTGAGAGGTTAAGTAACTTGCCTCCGGTCTTTGGTCTTCGGCTTGGAACTGGCAGAGTGATTAAAGGGTACGGAAAGGTGGTTGGTTTCACTGTGTTTCTTTAGGAGTGAATGGCAGCCAACATCAGACAAAATATTAATGTCTAATTCAGCGTATACAGAATTCATGAGACTGAAGTGGATTTGTCCCGGGTCTAGAATAGCCGTCGGCTGGCTCCCATTACTGAGATTTGGGTCCTAATTCCAGCTCTGATCTAACTTGCAGCCGGGCCTGAGACAGATCACCCTTCCTGATTCATCTGATGTGTGTGTCTTTGTGTGTGTGTGTGCAAAGGGAGAGAGAGACAAAGATTTTGAGTGGGGTGGGAAAAGGAGAGAAGTACGGTGGAAACTGGACTCTACCATTAGTGAGGTTCTATGTTGCTCGAGTTTTCTACAGCCCTATTAGTGTACAGTTTTAGAATCATTTGCCTACCAGTTAAAATGTGGGGACAGGAGTGGCTAGAAGCTGTGATTCCTGGTGGCTCTTTCATAGCCAGACCTACAGAATAGAATGGGTTCTCCCGACTTCTTGATGTGCTTATTTCAAAGTGGAACCACTGTGTGATTTTTTTGAAGAACTGAAGCAAATTGCTAGTGAAGGGTGTTTTGGAGGTGCTCCTCTGCTGATAGCATCTCTATTACCAGGATTCAAAGAGGCTATTAGTCTGTATGAGGATCAAGAAATTTAGTCCTGCTCTCCCCCCATCTCTCCTAAAATACCCAGGAAATATATTTTTGGTTTTAAAAAGATCATTATATTAAAGCATCGGGATGTTTGCTTTAATTTTTTAGTTTGTGTTGCTATAAAGTTACTGATTTTAAAATATTATGAAGGCACCTGGATGTTTGCCTTAATTATAGTATGTGTGTGTGTGTGTGTGTGTGTGTGTGTGTGTGTGTGTGTGTGTGTAAAAGAGAGAGAGGGATAGAGAGAGAGAGAGAGAGAATAATCTATAGTTTTTTGCCATATGTAAAAGTGACCAGAGAGCCTTCTGAAGAAGGTATAATTTCTAAATTTCTTTGGCAATGCCCACTTTTCTTGGTCTGGTTTTATATTTAATTAAAACTTATTATATTTAATTTCTTATTACTAGCATTATTTGTTCCCAAAAACCCTTGGAACAAAGTGCTTGTCAATTTCTACGTTATCAAGGCCATGGCCTCACTGGAATCACTGTTTTTCACTCAAAACATTAAGTCAACTCAATTCTACTAAAGGTCTCTCATTGAGATCAAGGTGAAGTGTATGTTGCTTGGCATAGATTTTCTTCTTTTCCAAGGACTGGTTAAAACTTATTAGAGCCAAGTTACCTCCAAGTAGGAGGATGAAGAGAAAAGAGACAGAAAGGCTGAGTAGGGGATGGTTGCTGGCAAACAAAATGCTCACAGTTTTGAAGAACATGCAGAAGAATAGTTTGGAAACTGAAGAGATTATTTTCAAAAAAAAGAAATTTTCACACAGTGCTTAAATCATGCCCCTTAAAATGGGTGTGCTACAAAGCTGCTCTTTAGATAACAACAAATTTTTGGCTCGTTGTAAATATCTAGTGTTTAGATTTTCAATAATTCTATATAGAATGAAAATCTAGCAAGCTGAAATAGCAAAAGAAAAACTAGTCTAATATTTTTAGAAAAAGAAAAAAAGTAATTCTAATATTATTAAGAATGATCAGAATTTAATAGCGTTATAATTCCCAGTAAATATCCTTCTAGTGACATGTTTAGTCATTTTTGAAAGATATTCAAATGTTTTTAGTATTTGGCTCGCTGGCTGAACTGTAGGTGAACCCCATCTTTTAAAGATCACTAACAGAAATATCAATAATAAAAATTTTCATTGACATTGAAGCTCAAGGCCATAAAATTCTGCTTTGTTTTCAAGATAAATAGAATTTCTAAAAGGCCCTAAATAATCAATAACATTGCCCTAGTTTTTAAATGTTTATATATCTTTTAGTTTCTGTTCTAAATATATGTGGTGAGAAGCAAACATTTCTAATACAGAGTCATAAAACAGTACTCTTGCAAGGTATATTTCCAAGACATCATCCACAGAAACAAATTTATTCAGACATAATTACAACATAAAACCCCATTGTGTCTGTGCAGATGTCCTTATGAAAAGTATGTTAGCACTTTTATTTTACAAAACTGTCTTATTTGGAACATCTACTTACATGGCTATGTCCCTGGACATACTCTTGGAAAATCACTTTGGAAAATCTCCACATAAAGAAATGGGGAGAAATTTTTGTTTTGCAAACAAATCTTATGAATGATTCAGAAATAACTCACATTTTGAGAATCATGAACAAAAAATGTTTAGACTGTTTATTCTTTACATGTTTTAATGGTTAGAAATGGGGAACTTCCCTGGTGGTGCAGTGGTTAAGAATCCGCCTGCAAATGCAGGGTACACGGGTTCGAGCCCTGGTCCGGGAAGATCCCACATGCCGCGGAGTAACTAAGCCCGTCGCGCCACAACTAGTGAGCCTGCGCTCTAGAGCCCGTGAGCCACAACTACTTTAGCCTGCGTTCCTAGAGCCCGTGCTCGGCAACGAGATAAGCCACCACAATGAGAAGTCCAGGCACTGCAGCGAAGAGTAGCCCCCCTAGCCACAACTAGAGAAAGCCCGCACACTAGCAACGAAGACTGAATGCAGCCAAAAATAAAAAAATAAATCTATTTAAAATAAAGAAATGGAAGCTTTCCTCAAAAGTATAGACCACTATGGTACTTATTAAAATGAATTTTAATCCAGTTTCAAATAACTTTATTAAAATTTAGATGACAAATTACAATCATCCATTTTATGAGGCAAGGTGGATTTAATGATTCTCATCTATTATTGTATATCCTCTCTTTAAACATTTGAATAAAAGTATTTAGGCAAAGCACATTCAAATACATAATTCATATCCCTTAGTGACATCAGTGAGGTATCTAAAATGTTTCAGATAGAATAATTCAAGAAACATAGCTATTTCTAAAGGGAAAATAGGAAAGATTTTGATGTTTAAATATGTATATTTCAGGATAAATGCTCCTTACTACAAATGGAAACCTAGGAACATCTTTATTAGTAAATATGGCTGATCACTTAATATTTATTGATTTTTTTGAGCACTTTTTAGAAATTCTAAAAATAGCTATGCTTATAGAAATCCGTGCACACTAGCTAAATCTATTAAGCAGATGTTACATAAAATTTTTATTTTAGAATTGCATGTTTTAAGACAGATCATTTGTTGAAGGACAATGAGATAAAATAATGACTATGACTATGCATGAACCTTGCCATTATCTAGACATAGTCCATATGTAGCTCGCATTTATCAGGCCCTTGTCATATGCCAGGAAATGTTCCAGGTGCATCCCTGGTAGGATGTCTTCCTTGTCAGTGCAGTTGCTGGCCTGCCTAGTGCCTATGTGAACAGTGGGATGGGGGTAGGGAGAGGAAGGTGGGGGGAATAAAACTGGAGAAAGATGCAGGAGGGAAAAGGAGAGAGAAAAAGAGAAACAGAGAGAGAATGAATGGGAACCTGTCCATTTAGTAAGGCAAGGATCCTTGCATTTCCCATGGATGAACGAATATCACAGAAAGTCATTGGCAGGACTTGAGCCATCTTGCTTGGCCTACCCAGAAAGGCCAAGCTCTTAGCCAGGGGCTGGCAGGAACAAGCTGGCATTGGGGGCTTGGAAGGGCTAGAGAAGTGCTGGACAGGAGCCCTATTTCCTGTGTTAGGGAACTATGCAGGGCAAAGCCCTCCAGGGCTCCTAGAAGGAACCACACAAGTGTCCCCGCATTTGGACACCAGCTGCAGAGAGGACAGTGATGGCCGCTCAACATTAACCAGAGAAGCACAAAAACCAAGAAAGAGAGAAATGCCACCTCATTCAGTTATGAATAAATAGATCTACCTTCCCCCTCCTTCTCCAGCCTTCCTTCCTGCCTTCAACCTGGGAGGAGTGGGTGGGAGGCTGGTAAAGAGCAGACAGCACTTTCCTCCTCTTGCCAAGCCCTGGAGCCACAAGCCAGCCACCGTGCTTAGGGAGAGAGATTAGAGTTAGGTGTTAGATCAAGCTGTAATCGGACTAGACCGTTTTAATAACCAAAAGCCACCAGAAATGCATGGGATCTCACCAAAGTATTATTAAGGGAGGGATTTGGTTTTATAATAGTAGTCAAAAGCAGTTACTGGAAGAAATAAAATAGTTTCACATTTATAACAGAATGATAGGCACTCCTCAAAAACATCAGTTCCATCATACAGGTTCATATTATCAATCACACATACTTGATGTGTGTTAGATTGAAAACTTATCACCAACTCATATGACTTCCATTGATCATGTTGAAGCTATTGTTTCCAGGTAGAATGCATGAAAATCTGACTTTGAGCTTAATGAAATGTAAACTACTTCTTTTTCCTTTTCTTCTTCTTTTGTTGAATGTGAATCAGTACTTTATAACCTGGGATGCATTTCGTTATTAGGCAGATGCATACCTTTGGTTAAGTCTAAAGAGGTGTTTCTTGAACACCTATTTCTTGAACACCTATTAGAGGCTAGAACTCTCAAGTTAGAAGTACTCTGAACTTTTATTGGGTATAAAGGTGATTGGTTTTTTTTAAAAATAAATTCATACTGCAAATTCCAAAAGTCAGTATGTAATATCATTGGGACATACACATTATACCTAACTGGATAATATTTGCATATTTTTCATGGTAATGGTTTTAAAAGACAGGTCAGCTTCCAAAATAATTTAGCTCCCTCTGTTAGTTAATGTATTCAGGAATATAAGCTAATTTTTATATTTAGCTACAAATACTT